TTGGGGGACAGGGGATGGTGGTGGAGGCCCTGAAGCAGGCTGGTACGTGGCATGTCTCCAGGGAGGAATTGAAGATGTCAGTGAACACCAGAGACAGCTGGTCAGCACAATGCTTCAGGGTGTGAGGGGAAACTGAGTCCGGCCCGGCTGCCTTACGGGGATTTTGTCTTTTAAAGAGCCGGGTAACGTCTCTAGAATAGAGCGGGTCGTTGCTGGTGGGGGAGAGGAAGGTGATATAGATGTAGAGCACCTGATTGACTGCAGCAGGCTGGTGGAGCTGTGGGGGATGGGATCAGGACATTGTCTTTCGAATCTGCAGTAGAACTAATTCAGCTCGTCTGCCAGGCGGAGGTCATTCATGGAGTGGAAGGTTTTTGGCTTGTAGTTAGTGAGGTGTTTGAGCCCTCTCCAAACCGAAGTGGAGTCACTTGCTGAGAACTGTTGTTGGAGTTTCTCAGAGTACAGTCGTTTAGCATCTCTCACCGCCTTGCTGAACTTGTATTTTGACTCTGTGTACCGATTTTTGTCCCCACTCCTAAAAGCCTGATCCTTCTGCAGGCGTAGTGTTCTGAGTTCCGCTGTGAACCAGGGTTTGTCGTTGTTGTAACTCACCCTGGTGCATGATGGTACACAGCTGTCCTCACAGAAGCCGATGTAGTAAGTTACAGCCTCTGTGAACTCATCCAGACTGTCCGTAGCAGTCCTGAAAACATCCCAGTCTGTGCAGTCAAAGCACGCCCGAAGATCCTCCAGCGCCTCACTGGTCCACTTCTTGAATTCCCTCACCACAGGTTTGCAGAGCTTTAGTTTCTGCCTGTATGCAGGAATCAGATGGACCATGACGTGGTCAGAGTGTCCCAGTGCAGCACGGGGGACGGCGTGATAAGCCCTGCTTACTGTGGGGTTACAGTGATCCAGCGTGTTCTCCTCTCTGGTGGGCATTTAAAAAACTGTCTGTATACTATACAACTGTCTGTAAACTGTATACTAGGGGAGTTCGTGTGTGAGATTTCCTTTGTTAAAGTCCCCGAGGACAGCGAGTGTCCGCTGTGCCTGGGGGGGGGGGGGGGGTCCGAGCAGCTGCGCGGATGATCTGAGTGGACCCTTTGTGTTCTCAGGGTGTTCTTCGAGGTGGCCTCCCTGCCGTTGGTCAGCGGCGACCTTTTGGAGGAAGCGTTATCTCAGTGAGACGGGGGGAGAAGACGCAGCCCGGCCAGTCTGTACATAACGATGTTAATATGTTAAATATTTATACGTGTTCTCTGCTGTCTTCTATAGAACGGTGGAAATAAACCTTTTTAATTCCAGTTTGTGGTGGAAAAGAGTTGTTCTGCAGACTTTTGTTGTGCCAGTTCTGTTAAAGTTGTTTTTAATGGCTTTTATCGTGTTGCATTCTGAAGACGCAGTTATTTTGGCATTTATTTTTTTTAAAAGAACTTTTAATAAGAGGATACAAAGGAAAAGAAATCTGTAATTACGAAGATGGTTCACGCTTCCTCTCAGTAAAGGTTTACTTTTTACTGATGAATTATGCGCCAGCCCAAACATTTAAATAGGTTTTCATACATTGTTAAAGTTGTGTATTTCCATACGTTGTACAGTGTTTATCATGTTAATATCACTATGCACATTATTTGTATAAAAGACGACCAGATGATGCTATTTTTAAATGGCTGTCATGCGTGCTCTTAAAATAAAGTTGTTTTTTTCCGTTCTTTTGATACAATTGAATGCTTTTTATTCCGCTGTCTGTCCTGATGTTTAATAGGAGCAGCTGTTGGGCCTGTTTGCAGGTGTAGTTCCGCCGCGCGGCCACTAGAGGGCAGTGACGTTCCTCCAGAATAAGATGCAGAAAAGAAAACATGAATTCATACTCGGTATATTTTATTTTATTCAGCTCAGTTCTCCTTTGTGCTTCTACGTCCGGATGCAAAGCGCCGACGCTAAATGGCAGCTGTTTAAAAGGATTTACAGAAAGACGCATTTTGAACAAACGTTTGTTGGACGGAGTCGGGACGAGCAGCCGTTTCTCTTTAGTCAAACCTCCAACTGCTCGCCGAGTCCGTTCGGGTCAAGTTCCAATCAGCCTCCCAGCCAGCAGCGCCATTTAGTCCCACGTCCGATGGTTTCATGCCACCGAGGGCCGTCCCTGCTTCCTGTCACCAGTCAGAGACACAGAGACCACATTCATACTGGACTTTTTAAAAGACACGCTTGTCTTTTTTTTGCACTTTATATATGATTAAATAATGAAATATAAGGATATATTATACTATATAATAGCATATATATACTCTGGGACTGGAGAGGCTGGAGCAGGTTGTGGAGACATGATGGATGTCACTGGCATCAGGACATTTAATTTAACATACGTGGTGTTCATCGCTTAATTAAATGTCTTGAAATTGTCTCTTTTCAAGGATGATTCTAGTGATGGTGTACTATCGGGTTACTATATATATATATATATATATATATATATTTTTTTTTTTCATCCAAAAGCCTCAAAGTGGATCCATCTAAAAATGAGTACAGGTAATGTAGCGTTGGTGAGCACTGTGGTGCTGTTGTTGTTGTTGTTGTGTATCAGTTTGTTTGGGCTCGTCTGATCAATCTGATCAATCAATCACTTGTTCATGTTGTGATGCATGTTGTTATATCAAAGAGCCTTTGGCAGCGAGTGTAACGGCTTTTAGGACGCAGACGGCTTAATGTAGCCGACGGTGTCTCACTGAACTTGTTGCATCCTGACTGAGAAAGAATCCTAATTCGTTTTAAATCAATATTTCCACTCTGCAGTGTGACAGCAGTGACTCGCTGTGCATCTCCGCCGTCACTCGGCCGCTTCGGCTGCAACGCAGATCTACGAAACAAGAGCTTGTGCGGCTGCGCTTTGGTGCGTCCGTTCCCCCGGCCCGGGTGGAGAGAAGAGGGACGGGGGGACAATGGAGGCTCTTACTGCCCCGCCGATTGTGTGTCTGCGTTTGTGCGTGTGCCAAACGTCAGGGACACATGAATATGGATGAATGAGTGAATCCGTCGTCAGAGGAGTAAAGGACGCACTTAGGAAGGTCACTTTAGCTCGTCAGCGTTCTTCATAAACCACACAAACGTCACCAACACCTGCGTTTATGTTTGAAAAAAAGAACATGAATATATATTCTAAAACACACTGATTCAGTGTCACATGACAGAAAATGTTATATGACATTCGATCTTTTCTGCTGCTTTTTCTCAGAACAAAATGCATTATTGGTGCAATATTCAGTCCTTCATGAGCTGCTTCCAACTGCAGCTGTAACTTCAACCAATCAAAGCGCTTCGGCGTTGACGTCTCGTACCACGAGTGCTTTGCTTTTAAACGTCTTCAGGAAGAGGTCACATTTTATTCCCCTTCACGCAAAATGAGCCGTTTCTTTATTCCCAGAACGTCAGCGTGGAACCACAAGTTGACTTCGGCTCCATTGACGGTTCGTTCAGTATTTTAAGCAAAAATTAGCATTCGTCAAATGTCATTTGATATATTTGACATTTGACATTACACATAAGCAAAAAAAACATTTCTAACTAAGACACAAAGACGCTGAATGAGGCATCGGCAAAAGAAAAGTGCCAGTGAATGGGGGGGAAGTGGGGGTGGGAGGGAGGGGCAGAAGAGCCAGTTGCCGGGGTAACGGCCTCCGTCGGTCCCTCTTGATCTCAAATGGAACGACGCAGGTGACTCCACCGATGGACCTCGTGTGCGTCGCGTCGTCGAGGTTCCCTCTCCCTCTCGCTGACGTTTTCGTTTCGTGTGTCTTTGATTGGACCAAAGGCCTGTGATCTATAGTAGAATATATGGTGGAATATCCCATCATTCACACTCTCTCCTTCTGTAATGTGCTTATGATACATTATTTCTTTCATTTATCTGGGGGATTTTGTATAATAAGGCTCTGCCACTTCCCTTTCTCACAAATATATATGTTTTTCTCCCCTTTACATAAAACTGAACTTGTGTTGGTAAGAAATAGCTGCTGATGAGAACGAGACAAACCGTTTTCGGCGCTGAAATTTCAAAAAAACATGTTTCTAAACCTAAAAATGTACAATTAGTTTGAGATGAAGCAGATTGAGTTCAGTTCTCTGCGCGTGATGAAGCCGCCGCCTCGCGGTTCTGGTCCACTCGGCCGCCACTTAGATGGGCGAATTGCTTTCTGGTCCCTTTCCTTCCCACCCCCTCCCCCCTCCCCTCCCCTCCCCCCGTAGTGGGGGAGAAACAGGAGTCTGTGTCTCTTCTGTGATGAAAGTCCACCGTCGGTGAGTGAAAGTGAGGGGCTGCGATGCCGAGGCCTCTTGGCGCCGATAAGGAAACCATCGAGGCGTCCGCCCCCCCCCTCTCCCATCCAACGATATACCGGAGGCCTCCGTGTTTCGTCCACGTGGGCGATGTGCTGAGCTCGTGGACAATAAGCTCATTTGTTTCAGGGCCCAACAAAAAAAAAAAGCAATCACCGCAGATCCAGATTTTGACTCCAGAGTCTTTGAGCAAATGAACGTTTTGTGCGTGCGAGTAAGAATTAAGCCGCTTTATTTCCGTGCATTTCCGGGCAGCTTGGGCCGCATTCCAAACGGCTTCTCCGTCCACTAAACGTCCTTCTTGAGAGTCAATCCCCGACCTCCAGGTCCTACGAGTCGTCATACAAGAACGAGCAGTAATGGGGTTTTCTCCTGATTCATTACCACCTCTCTGCTGCAGTCCAGCCTCTGGAGGTGGTTCGTGCTGCGATGGGGGGGCAGTGATTGGAAGGTGGGGCAAAAGACACCGAACGGCTGGGATTCCAAAGAGAAACCCAGGAGATGTAGTTTGAGACCAAAGAGAATGTTCTGGGGTTCAAACGTCTACTTGAATGTTTCTGACCAAAACCAACACCATCACGACGAATGACTAATGCGTGCGTGTGAGAAGTTCTTTAGAAGAAGGACAAGTTCAAAATGGCGGCGTCCGAAATGCTTCCTCCGGTGCGTGAAAGGACGCGAGCTGCGGGGGCCGCCGTCCCTGCGAAGCTGCCGTTACATCCGAGTGGAAGAAGGAGCGGCGAGACGTGCGGACGACCCCTGACGCTCGGGGAGAGTCACAAGAAGAACGAGCCACAGACAAACACAGAAACTCGGCGTGACGCGCGAAGAGCCGCCGACTGAAGCTAATTTCCCCGTCGTGGGTCAAAGAGGCGGCGACCCCAGCAGGACAGACCCCATCTGTCCTGCTGGGGTCTAAGAAGTACAAAGCATCACTCGCCTCGTGGTCCGTTTGGGATCCAGGTCATCCATCATTTACTAAATGAGCCTCGTGCTCTACTGAGGAAGACATGAAACCAGGGAGGAGAACTCATGTTTACCGAGGGAATAAATCAAGAGCGACGCGGCCGTTTTCTCATAGACGTCTTTGGGACCAGAGGAGTCGCCCCCTGCTGGTCAGCAGAGGGAAGTACCGGCAAATCTGCGAGAGATCCACAGAGCGGCTCATCATCGCGAGGGGAAAACAAGCCGTCTGAACATAGTGACCACGGCCGATTGCACAACTCACCGTTTTATTTTAGGACCCTGTCCACCATAAACATCCGCTGCTGCTTTGCCATTCACGTGCAACCATCTGGGCGATATTCGATCTTCTCCCGGTTGTGACCAGAGGAAGTGATGCATCTCCGTTTACGAAGGCGCCGCTGTGCAGGATGAAAGCAGAGGGAGGAAGAGGGGGGGGGGGAGAGATTGACACTTTTCATGATGAGCTAAATCTGTCTGTAAAGGAACAGGATGATTCCCGCGGTCTGGTCTTTAGCAGGAGGAGGAGAAGCAGAAGATTACAGGATGAAGGCAAAGGGTGAATGAGAGGAGGAGGAGGGAAAGAAATAAATCCCTAATCCAGAATTTAATTCCCCCACTCACAGAGGTATTTATACAGATCGGGTGGAGCCGATAGCAGCCGGTAGCCGCGAGGTGAAGCACAAACGTCGGGCCTTTGTAACGCGGGATGATGCGAGGAAGACGCCGTGAAGAAGAGAGTCAAACTGTCACGGCCAATTCGTTCTCGTTCACATGGAGACGAATGGTCTCTGAGACGTTTATCATTTTATAGGCCAGATGTTGGCTTTAGTTTTTCTGTGTTTGTAATTAGATCAGAAGAAAGGCTGCTGTCACCTCCATTTATAGCTTCATTAAAACAAGTTGATTAAGTAGAAAAAAAGGGACAACGAGCGAAGGAGAGATGAGAGAAAGTAAAGGAAATATTAGCAGGTGAACTTTGAAGCGGCGAGACGTATTCGAGGGGGACGATGATGAAGAAGGATCCCTTAAAACCTGAAGACAAACTCATTAAAATGTAAATAAAATGTCAGTTTCATTACAGGACGATAACGGCGCTTTGAAAGCCTCTTCCTGAAGAGCTCGTCTTATCATCGTAATGAGAACCAGATGGGGTCGAATGATATTCGTGATTACAGACACTTATCCGCATTTAACGGATCAGATTTGGACGAAACGGCCACATGAGCCAATTTCTGGCGTCGCGCCGCCAGCGGCCCGATGCCAAATGGATCTTCCAGGAACCTGCGACAAACTCCAAAACCAGTATATTAAATTAAATGACATCCATCCAATTCTCCACCCGCTGGGAGTTTTTCCCCAGTTTTAGATAAAAGATCATTTCCAGTCGGAGGACATTGGTGCGTTTGTGGATTGTTGGTGCCGTTGGGGGGGTAAGAAGTGGATGAAGTGGACGAGGGATGAGTCGGGCCGACGGGGCGGGACCTCAGACGAGGGAGAGGACATCTGATGAGTGCGAATGAATGAATGTGTCCACTCTATTCAGAATGTGATGCATGATTCATTTGTGTCCGCCGCGTTCTGCTGAGTGACAGCTTCTTTCCACGAAGCCAAGAAGACTTTCACAAAGACCGGCGCGCTGCGTCGTCCAACCGATCGATCCCAGCGGCGTCAATCAGCCGCCCGAGCAGCCGGCGTCCCGGCCGGCGATGAGGCCTTCGTGGATGGACGCTCTGACCCGCAGTGAGTCGGATCTCAGGATGTGTGTCTGTGCGTGTGTGTGTGTGTGTGTGTGCGACCCCCGTCATAAATACACACAGCTGTTTGCTTGAAGGTTTTCAAATTGTTTTTCACACCTGAAGCTTCTTGCCGGTGAAGACGATATTCATCAATATGATTTATGACAAAGGGATAGAAGAGGAGCGAGGAGGGCGTGTGCGTGTGCGTGTGTGCGTGTGTGTGCGTGTGTGTGTGTGGAGACATAAATGGCAACTGAAGCAAACTACCCAGTTCAGATCTCCTGCTGAGGAAGATTAAAGCAATTTACTCCCGTGTCCCTCAAGCACACCTGACCTCTGACACACACACACACACACACACACACGCATGCATGCACACACACACACACGGGCATTTTTGGGGGGGGGGGGGGGGGCAAAATTGGGAGGAGGAGAAGGTTCAGACTAAAAGAACCAGTCAACCCAGTTGACTCTCTGGCGCGCATGCATGTTTGCAGGTTCTGGTCCGGCCGAGGACGGACAGGTGTGTTATTCACCTGTGTTCCAGTGGCGTTGCTGTTGTTTCCCCTATTGCGTGCGTGAACATCTGGACTGAAGGCTTCCCGGCTGCGGTGACTCTCTGCCGGTCTGCACGCCGCTCCTTGCTCAGACTCCCTCCGCACGTTGCTCACCGAGGCTTCATTTTTCACCTGGAATGATCCAAACAGAGCGACGCGCCGCGCAGGTGCATTATTTCGGCGGCGTTTCATGATGAGTAGCTGCGTGTCTGTCGCGGCGACGGTGCGCGTTCTCCCGCATGCCTTCTCCGTCGTCCATCACTTTTATTGTTTGCTCAAAGGACGTCTGCTCTTCGCCGCCACAGCAACGGAGGCCCAATTCGAACGCGCTGTGTTTCTCCGTTAAAAGCCACTGAAGAGAAACAGCGTTCTCTCTCTGTCAGCTTCTCTCTTCTTTTCTTCTTTTCTTCCCGAGGCTCTGATCTCCACACCCCGATGCCATGAAAGGAAAACCTTCAACGAGCTTTTTGAAACACTGTGAAAGATGTATTGAGCATTTTCTTTTCTTTTTTGGGGGGAGCGTCACCTTTCTCTTTCATCGGTCAAAGACGGACCAAATAACGCCATAAAGTGCAGGCGACAAAGGAGACGTGATTTATTATGTAACAAAGCGGCGAAATGGGACGGTGAGAGGTAATGAAAATGGACACAATAACAAGGAGACTCTTTCAATATGGTCTCATGCTGATTGAAATGAGAAACATTTATCGGTGAGAAAGAGGCGAGAGAGAGCGACGCAAAGCAGAACGCCGAGAAATCAACTTCAGTTTCAGAAGGAATCGATTTTTTTTTTAGTTCTATAATACAGACGAATAATCATCCAGCATCAGAGCTGCAGAAGAACAAAGAGGCCGACGCTTCATGGTTCTTTTTACCGTATTGTCAAATGACGCCGTTGGGGCTCGCGGTCGCTACTCGTGCGTGAACATCTGAAAAAGACACGAAAGGAAGGGAAAGACCACTCGCATTTGGCTAAAGTGGGTTTTGATCACGAAAGCCCCGAGCGTTCAAACACGAGGCCCTGAAACGCGGCGCTCGGAAGCGACGCGTTTCAGCTGAATGAGGAGCAGCTTCCCGCCAAGTCAACGGGACCCGTTTCCCGCGTGACTGAGCGATCCGCTCCGATTGGGAGCGAGAGAAATGCGTTTCCGCTCAAACCTTCAATCGGTACGGGATCGTCTTTGACTGCGATTTTCATTTGAAATTCCAGCTCGCACATTTGGAAAAAAGGCGACCACGTCGTCGTGTCACGCCATCTGAACTCGGGCCAAACCGCCACTTCGTTTTTTTGCCGTGTTTTGGACACGTGACTCACTCGCTTATTGTTTCACAGACGCGCCTCGAATAACTCAACGCAACTCCCAGTGAGCACAGTTAATAGGACGCCAAGAGAAAAATAATACATAAAGACATGAAAATGCCAGACTTTAAAGTAAAGACCCGGTTTTAAGATGGAACATTTAGAAAGTGCTGTAGTTTCCTAAAAAAACGAGACACTAAAGTCACCGAATACAAGAGACCTTTTAGTCGAACTTTGCTCATCGTGCTCTCGCACACCAGGCTCCTTCCGCCTGTAAGTATCCACTTATAGATTTAAGCGTTCGCAGTTCTATATTTGTTCAAACTCGTTGTGGAGTCAGAAAATGGACCCGTGTTAGCTGATCCGAGTTAACGAGTCAAAGGTTTTCTAAAACACCTTTGTGTTACTTTCCCACCATCGTGTCTCCAGGAACCCGTTTTACCATGATGACACACACACGCACGCACACACACGCCCATCTAGCATTTCACCACGGTGACCTTTTGGTTTGGATGCAGAGAGACTGCGTTGGTAAAAAGGTCCGTGCTGACCGTTTTAAACCAATTTCAGTTGATCCAGTTTTGCTTGTTTATTCTAAATTATCATCGACTCTTAATCGGCCATTCAAATAGTTTTCTTTAAAATGACGGCAAAAATGCCTAAAAATAATTCTTCCCAAATTAGTCCAATAAGCAAAAAATACATCGGGTAATATGTGTTACAGGCACTCTCTTGTTTGAATTATCAAAACATTTGTTATAAATGGCAAACAACATTTGAAAGAGGAACTCTTTTTATTTGATTTATAAGAAGAAAAGAAGATACATTTTCCCGTCAATCCAATCCTCTGCAAGTTACTAAAAATTATTCATTTTATGATCTCACACAGGAGCAATTCAAGATAAACACAACACCCCTCCCACCCCCCATGTAGTTAGTTAAGTTTAGTTGTCATGCTGCAGTGATGCATACATGTGTACCTGTCACCACCGTGTGACCTCACACGTTTCAAATCCATTGAAAAAGAAGCCTGGTTGTGAAACACAGCGAGACATTTTAAACGCTTCCCGCTTCACAGACCAGCACATAGAGGGAAACCACCAGGAGACACAGTGGGAGGGAGTGGGAGAAATGGATCATACTTCCACCGCTACTGAACACGCTTCCATCAGGATATACTGGGAATGGTTGCTTGGTGCGTGGGGTTGGATTGGTTGTGGGTGCTGTGTTAGAACAGGCATAATAGAGGTCGCTGTTCACTCCGGGCGATGTGAAGGGAACGAAGCCCGGTTGGCTGGCACCGGTAACGTTGGAGATCCAGTTCTGGTACTGGGACACACGGGTGAAGACTCCAGGAGTATTGGGCCTGGCGCAGCCGTAGCCGAAGCCAAGGCTCCTGATTCCACTCTGGATCCAAATGGAACCATCTTTGGTCACCAACGGGCCCCCGGAGTCTCCCTGGGGAAAGAAATGGACGGTTGTTGGATTAAGTTTGTTTCTTCTTGTTCTCGGAAGCAGAAGTGGTATTCACCTGGCACGGCCCAGCACAGATCATGTTCTCTGTGAGTTGACCATAGGCGCATCTGCACTCATTGTTTCCAACGATTGGTACGTTCACTTGCTGCACGATCTCGGCTCCGAAAAGTGAACCTATTCAGAAATATTTCAAAAGATAACATTGGAAGTGCTTTGAAAAAAAAAGCTTGTGGGAAGCATCATTTTGTGATAAAGGTGTGCAGTGTGAGCTCACCAGGTTGGGTGACCCAGCTGCTGACCCCGGTGTGGAAGGTGCTCCCCGCCGAGGCTAAGCACACCGGATATATGTAGTCGCTGAAGTCCACCGGAGACGACAGCTTCAGGAGACAGATGTCGTTGTTGTTGGTCCAGGAGCTGTATGACGGATGACACACGGTCCGTTCGATTCTCAGAGTCACGTTCGGGCCTGAACGGTTTTGGCTTCCCAGCGAAACCGTCGCATTATTGATGAGCACGCTGCAAGAAGTAAAAGAATACTGGTTTGGCCTTCAGCAATCTACAAATGTTCTACAAATGAGGCAGTGCTTAAACAAAGACGCTGTATGTTATATATTAACGAAAGTTATGTCCTCACCTGTCCAGGCAGTGAGCAGCTGTCAGCACCCACTCATTGGTAATCAAGGATCCTGCACAGAAGGGACGGCCGTAAGTCTTTAAAATGCAAACCAGGGCAAACTCCTAGAGACGCATTTTGGCCTCCAAAGGTCCCGGTGTTCGGTAGAGACCGGAAGCAAGCTGCCAGAGATAAGAGAACAAAAGAGGGTTTGGTACGCAAAGAGTCGGCTACATAGCTGAGGAATCGTGAAAGTTGAAGAACCTGTAGTGTTGCGTACCTGGAGCCTGTGAATGACACCCTGAAATTTAGAACAAAGAGAGAATGTAGTTGAGCAAACGTCTTTAGGGTGAGGCAGAGGATGATATGCACTTTTCAACACAACAATCTAGCAGGAAACTATTTTAGGCACTTTTTGAAAAGCGTGTTGGAAAAAATGGACAAAAAGCTGACTGGCTAGAGCTCATACTACAAGAGTCCGCTGCATGACATTCCCCTTCTCGCTTTCCCCGCATTTTCCGTCTACACGGCCAGTTTATTAATAATAGTAATAATAATAGATAAATTAAATGAAGGTACAATTTAATCATCTCTCCAATCATTTACTGTACCATGCTTTGTCAAATCTCTTAAGTGAACAATGACTACCGACCTCATCAGAAAAATATCTGGGATGGAAATCAACAGCTGGTTAAACCGCTTGGATGTTGATTACGTGTTTGTTGGTTGTTGTCTAATACCACAACGTTTTCACGACACTGTGCACGTTCTACACTGTGCACGTTCTACACCGTGCTGGGGCGGAAAGGTCCCCGATTTGTTGAGCCCAAAAACCTGAATGCTATCATTGTGCTGTTCCTTCAACAGAGCATCTCCACATTACCAACTTGTATTAGTTGAATATAAAGTGTTTTTCCAGATGAGCTTTCAGGTACTTTTGAGATTTTTGATTATTTTATAATATCTGTCATTTTGCTTGTTTTAGTAGATTAAATATTTCCTTTGTAAACCAAAAGACAAAAGTAAAATTCAGCGTCCAAGTTGTGTTATTTCGTCCCGGTTTTTGCCCTCATACAGCACACGGTTAAGAAGCAAATTGATATGGATTAGATGCTCATTACTTTGAAGAACATCGCTGAACTGTAGAGTGACCCCTTGCTGTGATGTTTTGCATATTCATTTAGTTTCAGGAGTAGCCAGATGAAGATGTTCTCCTAAATATACAACTTTAAAGACTGTCCCTTCAACTGAGCTGAAGAAGCATGATAGCCTTGCTCTCCTCCCACTCTTTCTGTTAACAAAATGAGCAATATTGTGAGAGAAGAGAAGTGTCTTACCACTGGCCAAGAGGATGATCATCAGGGCTGAGCCACACAGAAACTGGTCGCGAGTCATCTTGACTGTGCCCCCTTTCGCTTTGTCCACGCCGTTAAAAACCCTTTTGGGAACACGTGGGTCCGCCCACAGCGTCTTACTTTCCAACGGACCACCAACCCTGTTCTTCCCATCCACCGACTTCAACCAATAACCAAAGTGCTTTAAGAAGCAATACGTGGGGCCATAAGATAAGGCATCCAGTCAAACGTGTTTGACTTGTTGTCTGTTTTTCTGCTTCTATCTCAGCTGCCATAAGCTCTTTCTACCAATCCAGAATTGAATCTTCATTTTTTTAACCCCCAAAAAGTCTTTTCTATATTTTCCAACCTCCTCGAACCCCCTAGTCCTCCTCCCCCCTGCACACTTCTTCCAGGAGACTGGAAGGAAACTTTCCTCTTTCACCCCCTGTCTCCTAACCAAATTCTTACCCTGGTAACCTCTGCCCGTCCAACCACCTGCCCTCTTGACCCCATTCTATCACATCTTCTACAATCTATCGCTCCTGACCTTCTTCCTTTCTTCATCTGTTTCATCAACAACGCTCTTTTATCGGGCTGTTTTCCCAATTCTCTGAAGGAGGCGAGAGTTAACCCTCCCCTGAAGAAACCTACCCTCAACCCCTCTGAAGAAAACAACTACAGACCGGTCTCTCTTCTTCCCTTCTTGTCCAAAACGTGCAATCTTTAACCAACTCTCCTCCTATCTCACCGTAACAACCTCCTTGACCCCCACCAGTCAGGCTTCAAGGCCATTCCACAGAGACTGCTCTCCTTGCTGTCTCAGAGAAACTCCACACCGCTAGAGCCGCCTCTCTCTCCTCTGTCCTCAACCTTCTGGACCTCTGTGCTGCGTTGGACACAGTCAACCACTACTTCTCTTTCTGGGAAAAGATTCTCTGACCCAGGACTTGACGGTCAACTTTGGTAAATCCGTTTTAACTCCCACTTTGACCTCGCCGTGACACTCGACAGCCAACTCTCCCTGACTCCCAACATTACTGCGACAACACGATCCTGTAGATACACCTTCTACAACATCAGGAGAATACGTCCCCTTCTCATCCAGAATGCAGCAGCTCCACTGGTCTTTAACCTTCCTAAGTTCTCCCTCACTCCTCCACTCCTCCGCTCTCTTCACTGGTACCGGTGGCTCATCCAGTTCTAAACATGGTGCTCACGTACCAGGCTGTGAATGGATGGGGTCCAGCTTCCATCCAGGACCTGGTCCAACCCGACATCCCGACCCGCACTCTCCGCTCTGCATGTGATAAACTGCTTGTTCCTCCTCACTGAGAGCAAAAGACTCGACTAGATTTCCACTCTTTGCTGTCCTGCTCCTAAGTGGTGGAAGGAGGTCTCTGAAGACATCAGGACCACAGAGAGCCTTCACATCTTCAGACTAAAGACACACCTCTTCAGACTCGACCTCCACTAACACACTAACTAACTGTAGCACTTACATTGGACTAAATGACATGTAATGTAATGTAAAAATGTAATGTCTGTGCTAAAGCACATTCCTTCTCTAGAAGAATTGAATTTACCATAATAAAAAACGTCAGGTAACAGGTTTTAGATGTCATAACTACTCTCTTATTGGAATCATCAAATCATCTGCTACATGGAGCAATAGCATATACCTCAACAAAATAATATTTATTTCATGATCTTACCACAAAACAGTTATTTACAAGTCAATAAAACATTCAACAAAGTGTCTCCAACGTAGCATCAATACAATGATCTGCAGGTTTATTAAATCAACTTTGTGATGATGTACAATAGCAATCAAAGAGTAAATCAACACAGTTGTGCGTGGATGCTACAACAAGAGACGTTTGTCATTCATTAGAAAAGGTCTTTCTGCCGTTGATAACCAGAGCTTTTCATTTTCATCACGGTGAGACATTTGAAACGGTGACTAGTTAACATGTTCCCGTTAGGCTTCACAGACCAGCACATAGGAGAAAACAACCAGGAGACACAGTGGAGTGAAGTGGGAGAAATGGATCATACTTTCACCACTGCCGAACACACTTCCATCAGGCTCTACTGTGAATGGATCAGGCTCAGGGTCTACTATATCAGGCCCAAGTGTTTCTATGAATGGTTGCTTGGTGCGTGGGGTTGGATTGGTTGTGGGTGCTGTGTTAGAACAGGCATAATTGAGGTCGCTGTCCACTCCGGGCGATGTGTAGGTGACGAAGCCCGGTCGGCTGGTACCGGTAACGTTGGAGATCCAGTCCTGGTACTGGGACACACGGGTGTAGCCTCCAGGAGTATTGGGCCTGGCGCAGCCGTCACCGAAGCTCACGATTCCACTCTGGATCCAAATGAAACCATCTTTGGTCACCATCGGGCCCCCGGAGTCTCCCTGGGGGAAAGAAATGGACGGTTGTTGGAATAAGTTTGTTCCTTGCAGTTTCAGAAGCTTTTTATGTAATCTTGCAGATATCAGGCATGTAAATTCAGATTTTTAGATAGTTTGGCACCCTTTGCAATGGATAATAAAAAGACAAAAAGTGGTGTTCACCTGACACGCGTCCTTCCCCCCCTCTCTGAGCCCAGCACAGATCATGTTATCTGTGAGTTCACGATAGGTGCATTTGCACTCATTGTTTCCAACAATTGGTACGTTCACTTCCTGCAGGATATCGGCTCCGGTAAATGAACCTATTCAGAGATAGATACAGTAATGCGTTGGCGTGCGCATGGGAACCAAATAATGTCACAGAGGTTCGCAAAATAAGACAAAAAAACTGAAGCATCATTTTGTGATAAAGGTGTGTAGTGTGGGCTCACCAGGTTGGGTGTCACCAAACCCAGTGACCCAGCTGCTGACCCCGGTGTGGAAGGTGCTCCCCGCCGAGGCTAAGCACACCGGATATATGTAGTCGCTGAAGTCCACCGGAGACGACAGCTTCAGGAGACATATGTCGTTGTCGCTGGTCGTGAAGTCGTATGACGGATGACACACGATGCTTGCGAGAGTCGTGCGCACTTCATTGAAGTTTATAACTGTCTGGTCTTGACGGCCCAGAAAAACCGTTGTGGTTAAGAGGTCATCTCTACAAGACAAGACAAGTAAAAGACATTTTACTGCATGTCTTGCCTTCAGCAAACAGACTACGTCTCTGTTTTACTTTGTACTTCAGCCGGTCTTCAGTTGCGTGACTTGCTGTAGTTGTATTTAATTACAAAAGGTAGCAAACAACAGTTATGTCCTCACCTGCTAAGGCAGTGAGCAGCTGTCAGCACCCACTGATCATTAATTAGGGATCCTGCACAGGAGGGACGGCCGTCAGTCTCAACACTTGCAAACCAGGGCCAACTTCCCGGAGGCGCATTTTGGCCTCCAACAATTCTGGTGTTCTTTGGAGCCTGGCCGCAAGCTGCCAGATAGAGGAGAACAAAAAAGGGGTCAACTCGGGGTCAGCTACATAGCTGAGAAATCGTGAATCGTGTCCCTCTCGGATGCTTACCTGGTATCAGTGAATGACATCCTGAAATTTAAAATAAAGAGAGAAAGAAGTTGAGCAAACCTCTTGAGGGTGACGCACACCTCATCCCTTTGAGGAACATTACATTCTTTAGACACTTTGTAAAATCGCCTTACCTCCGCACAAGAGAACGATCATCCCGGCCAAAGCCCACAGAAACTGGAAGATAGCCATTTGAGCTGTGCCTCTTCCACCCGGTCCACGCCGTTAAATAGCCTCTTCGTTAAAGGCGGCTCCGCCTTTTTCATTAAACCATCATTAGGTTTTCCCCCTTCACTAACCTCCAAACAAAACAAAATTCCGGCTCTATGGAGGTGCCGTGAGGTAAAGCATGTCAAACACGGCTGTCACTGGCTTCCCGGTAGTTCTGCACTAACCACAAACTCTAATTACCTGAGAAGAACGCAGCCACCATAATGAGTGACTAGTGCATTTCCCCTTGTGCGCCTTTCTTCTTATCATTTCCAACTCCAACACTTTTGGATGCTTCTTGGTGTAATTAATGACAGAAGATAATAACTTTATACATCATACCGTCATGTCTTTAGTGGTGGAAAAAAAATCAAATCAAATATATTTAGTACCACTCTCTTTTCAACGAGTAACGATGTAAAAGGAGCAGTAAAGTATTTCAAATAGTCGGAAAGAGTACTAGGATTTAAAACTGAGTTATATTATCAAATATTACAAGTTGTTGTGGTTGGAAGCACAATAAAGCGTTAAGTCCATAACTCAACACATGATAACTAACAATCATGATTTACTGATTAAAAGTACCACATTTTTGATGATGATAGATGTGTTAGGATGAAAACTGGACAAACTGGACAACAGAAACAAGAATTAGGTTGGTGATATGTGTCATTTAGTGAATTGGCAGAGGGAATTTGTTCCTTCCGTAGTTTCTAGCTGGAGAGATGACGTCACACGGCAGATGAACTGGTTCCAGTTTGTGCAACATTTACGTAACATGAGAGAGAACAGGAAGCTAGTGTAGTATTTGTCCATATTTGGGTATCCTTGAATCATCCAGCGTCTCTTCGACAGCTACGACGGGTGAACACAAAAGGAGGAATTAGTTTAACACAAGTCTTTTCTGGAAGTTAGAAAAAAAAAAAATAACGACGTGCGATGAGACTCGGGACGGGTCCCCACCAGCGGCGATGCCAAATAGTTGTGGGGGGGAAAAGGTCCCTCCTCTTCTAGCACTTTTGCTCCAACCACCTTCCATCTTCAAACACAACCATCAGTGTGATCTGAACTACGCGTTTGTAAAGCTTTGTGAAATCGTCTTGAAATGTTGCGAGCGTCGCCCACGCAATCTGTCGACAGACCGACACAAACAGCCAAAACACACTTGTGCGAGTGGGTCGAGGTGACAATGCGTGACATGAGGGGACAATAACCTGGTAATGACGCTGCAGACCCACCCATTAATTAAAGGTTTATAATTGTGCAGGAACGCACACTGAATAGGATGATATTTTTATGAGTTGACAGCTGAGCTGATCTTCCTTTAGAAAGCTCGATGCTAAAATCAGACCCGGTTTAATGATTTGTACAAGTCAAACCGATTAGTCATCATTTAGTCTTACAGAGCTTGAAGTGTTTTACAAAGGTCACTTGATATAAATCTATATATATCCTTTGCCCAACAAAAACTGATGTGATAAAACCCGTCCTCTTTCCCCCACTCCCAAGAAGGACCAGCGCTGCTGCCATAGACTCCACAATATTGAATATCTTGAAGGTGCAGTAGAAATGAGCGTCAGGGAGAGTCGGGCCCAAAGCAATAAACAAAACTATATATACTTTAAAAGCAACTAACCTCTCCCCCCAAATAAACAAAAGAAAATACCGGCACCGTACCAACCTCCCTATTGAGTAGACAAAGGAACACGAGGTGAACAAACCCCTCCAACAGGACTGCAAGTAGCCCACACGTACAATCAGCACACCAGATCAGATGACCTGAGGATTAACGACACACTACGCTTTGTTAATCCTTTTCCTCCTCATGCCATCAAAAGGTCAGCATTTCATTCAACCAATGACATCAGGTTATGATTGGATACGATTGGAAGCTGCATTCTCTGCAGTGACCAGCAGGGGGCGACTCCTCTGCTCCCATAGACGTCTATGAGGAAATGACTCTACTTCTCTGTAGTGACCAGCAGGGGGCGACTCCTCTGCTCCCATAGACGTCTATGAGGAAATGACTCTACTTCTCTGTAGTGACCAGCAGGGGGCGACTCCTCTGCTCCCATAGACGTCTATGAGGAAATGACTCTACTTCTCTGCAGTGACCAGCAGGGGGCGACTCCTCTGCTCCCATAGACGTCTATGAGGAAATGACTACTTCTGTGTAGGGACCAGCAGGGGGCGACTCCTCTGCTCCCATAGACGTCTATGAGGAAATGACTCTACTTCTCTGTAGTGACCAGCAGGGGGCGACTCCTCTGCTCCCATAGACGTCTATGAGGAAATGACTACTTCTGTGTAGGGACCAGCAGGGGGCGACTCCTCTGCTCCCATAGACGTCTATGAGGAAATGACTCTACTTCTCTGTAGTGACCAGCAGGGGGCGGCTCCTCTGCTCCCATAGACGTCTATGAGGAAATGACTCTACTTCTCTGTAGTGACCAGCAGGGGGCGACTCCTCTGCTCCCATAGACGTCTATGAGGAAATGACTCTACTTCTCTGTAGTGACCAGCAGGGGGCGACTCCTCTGCTCCCATAGACGTCTATGAGGAAATGACTCTACTTCTCTGTAGTGACCAGCAGGGGGCGACTCCTCTGCTCCCATAGACGTCTATGAGGAAATGACTCTACTTCTCTGTAGTGACCAGCAGGGGGCGACTCCTCTGCTCCCATAGACGTCTATGAGGAAATGACTCATAGAATACTTCTCTTTTGATTTATTCCCTCAGTAAACATTGTAAACATGAGTTTATGGTCTCAGTCTCTAGTTTCAAGTCTTCCTCAGTACAGCATTGTTCATTCTGTTCAAAATGTTCATTTTGTAGGTTATGGTCCATTTCGTGTTAAATAGACAATAAAGCAGAGGATGTTTTGGGGCGGGGCCAAAACACTGAGCTCCAGGCGTCAAAATGGGACTCCACAAACCGATCGGTGACGTCCACCTCATCTACACAGTCAATGCCAAGTACCAGGTGGCCTTAAATCTCCATTCATCACTGACAAAAAGGAGAATTCCAGTGAGGCCGCTTTCCCAAAATGGATAAACTGGTATAAGTCGTCGCAAAGGGGAAACGTTGATTCACGTTGATGAGAAAAGATTGACAGGCGGAGGCTGCGAGTGGTGATGAAATGGGTGATTGTGGAAGACATGCGGCAGCTGGACTGGTTGTAATGCCACCGATTAAGTGATGCAATCACGTGCAACCTCCTGATTCCTCCATATCAGAGTGACGGGCAGGGTTGTTGGTTGGAGGGTGGCAGCGAGTGGGGAGAATCCCGCATGGTGGTCTGACTTTAGTTAACATTTTAATTAGGGATGTTCACAAAGAGGGCTTGACCGCTTTATCAAAATCCTTTGAATTGAAATAAATGTTTGCTTGACAATACACTCTACTGGCTTTGGAGAGACCCCTGACTTCCCTGTGGCGCCCAAGTGGACATTTGTGGCTTTGAGCGAAACTACATTTGGTCCACACGTGCATTTAGTCGCGGTCGATTGTAACGGCGGCGATTAAGCGCTTGTAGGACAGAATTGGCAGGAGGAGACGGTTCATCTGCACGCACCACCCACCCTGCAGCGACACGGAGCCAGCCGGCAACGAGCAAAGCCTCGCCCTCGTTCCTTCTGGAGGAAAAGGCCAGAAGAATTTTAAATAACAAAGCTATCCGTTCCATTCCGCTCCAAATATAATCTCTTGTGTGCAAAAAACCCCCCAGAAAAAGATGCCGTTCGCCAAAATGCCAAACTTAATTCTGGCAAAGGGAAGTCTACTAACAAATGAGTGACAATCTACACTAAATATCTGCGACTGGATGCCAGCATCAGCATTAGTTAGTCTATGCATCGTCAATGTGAGCCTTTTAGCATGCCGACGGTAGCGTTCAAACACCAGCAGGCGGGTTGTGGACGGCGTCGGTGAGGCACAAATGTATTCGTTAAGGTCGAGTGCTCGGTGAGATCACTCAGCGATACTTATTACCTCGATCAATACGCAGCGATGAAATGGCAGTCTGCTATAATCGAGTCTCACAGGCGAGTAGCTCCATGTCCTCGGTGCTGATGGAGCACGTGGAGCTGACAAAAGGCTGAATTTACACATTATTGTAGTGAACTTTATATATAATGACCCAGCGGCGTTTGTTGAACAAACTCCCAGAAAGCTGCAGGTCTGCTGAGCCGCCCGCCCCCCATGACCCATAACAAAACCACCCAGTCTGCTATATATAAATATAACTGGAATAACTGGAATCAGACGTGTTAAAATGATCCTGTCCCTCACACTCGTAGCAGCGTTCGGTTGCTTTATCCTCGTCAAAGTGAAGACGTATGCAACCAAAGACATTTTCCTCGACCCGCCTGAGCAGTGAGTCTATTTTGAACTGATCACGGTCACCACGCATCCTCTTGTCCTCGAAGCCGACAGACGTTCGGTGGCGGTCTGGCGATTCCTCGCTGGTGCAACGCTAAGCACAAACACGCTGCGTGTTTTTAGCCCTTAGCGTGTATTTTCCATTCGACATTTGTTTCGGTCGGCTTCTCTGTGAGACGCCTCTAACTATCTGCCAGTGCTGGTTGGAGAAGCCATTCGTTTCACAGCGCGCTTCATCAGCACCCATCAAACAGGGGAATTAAAATGGATGATGTGAAATATTACAAATCAACGTCCGCCTCAGAGACAATTTGTTGGAGCTGTGAGCCGTCCTCAAGCCATTTAATGTGAGCCGGATTAGGAGCTAACAGGCTACGTCACGCCGATTAGCACTACGGAGGGAGGAAAAACCTGCTGGGTGTGTGTCTGTGTGTGTCTCGCTCGAAGGTCTGAGTCAATGAGTGGATGGAAAAAGACAAAGGACATGAATGAGACGGGTAAACAGTGTGTGTGTGTGTCCAAGTTAATCTGGATCTCAGTGTGTGTGTGTGCACTTGCCTGTTACGAAGAAAGCTAACGTGTTTAAACGTTAAACTCGGAGCACAGAAACATTGGCTTTGCTCCATTTGGTTTCTGTGACGATGTTGTAGGCCAGTTGGTGCTCTCAAAGCATTGTTTGCACGAGATGCTGAATAATCCCCTGTAATGTGGATTTACTGAGTTTACAAAGTGGACAAATGCTACTAAGTCTAGGAAGTGACACCAGCTTTGGTTGGTGCCGCGTTTTGAGATGAGGAAAAGATAAACTGGTATTCCGTGTGGCGGCATCCTTTAGACGACGGCTCGTCTCGTAGCGTTTATTCACATTGCCGTTGGAGACATTATTGGAGACATTATTGTCTCCAGGCCCGACTCAGCGAGCGACTCAGCGAGTGAGCCGTTCACACGTTCCCCTTCCTGCCTTTGTGTCATCAATAGGAAAACAGGAACTTATTTGATTAAAAAGACAACTTCTGGCGTGTGGTGAAGATTTAATAACTTTTAATGATGACCAAGTGAGTTATGAATCGGAAGGCTGGAGCTTTCCCAAAGATCAGCGTAGGAGGATGGACCATCATTCACCTGCTGGTCACTACAGAGAAGTAGAGTCATTTCCTCATAGACGTCTATGGGAGCAGAGGAGTCGCCCCCTGCTGGTCACTGCAGAGAAGTAGAGTCATTTCCTCATAGACGTCTATGGGAGCAGAGGAGTCGCCCCCTGCTGGTCACTGCAGAGAAGTAGAGTCATTTCCTCATAGACGTCTATGGGAGCAGAGGAGTCGCCCCCTGCTGGTCACTGCAGAGAAGTAGAGTCATTTCCTCATAGACGTCTATGGGAGCAGAGGAGTCGCCCCCTGCTGGTCACTGCAGAGAAGTAGAGTCATTTCCTCATAGACGTCTATGGGAGCAGAGGAGTCGCCCCCTGCTGGTCACTACAGAGAAGTAGAGTCATTTCCTCATAGACGTCTATGGGAGCAGAGGAGTCGCCCCCTGCTGGTCACTGCAGAGAAGTAGAGTCATTTCCTCATAGACGTCTATGGGAGCAGAGGAGTCGCCCCCTGCTGGTCACTGCAGAGAAGTAGAGTCATTTCCTCATAGACGTCTATGGGAGCAGAGGAGTCGCCCCCTGCTGGTCACTACAGAGAAGTAGAGTCATTTCCTCATAGACGTCTATGGGAGCAGAGGAGTCGCCCCCTGTTGGTCGGGAGAGAGAATGCAGCCTTAAGCATCGGCTTCCCTTTTATATCTTGAATTACAGCAGCAGTTCAGCCTTTCCTACAGTGGAGTTTTTCTTTATTTTATCATTATTTAATTCGTCGTTTCATGACAGCTCTCTGCTGACTCCGCCCCTCTGCGGTGCCGGTTGCATTTTTCACATCGGGCATTTGGATGTTTCCCAGCAGCTCGGAGGTTGAATG